AGGGTGGAGAAACTGCCCTTGCGCTGATGGCAGCGGCAGGGAAGGGGTTAACGCAGGAGCCGGGCCTGACAGGGGACAGGAAGCTTTGAGGGTCAGAAATAGGAGGCCCCAGCTGCTGTTGCCCTGCTGCTTTTCCAAACATTTAGTTTAGAATAGTTTTAGGCCTAAAGTTGCAGAGATAGTGGAGAGTCTGCTCGGGCTCCTCACTAGTTCCCCCCTTGTTCTGCCTCACAAGAAGCCAGCATCAGTCCGTTGCTGTCAGCTGAGGCTTCCTGGGCCATCCCACTCCAGGGGCCACATGACAGCTGGTGGCCCCTAAACCTCTGCTCGGTGACCGTTCCTGTCTTGTTATCTGTGACCTCGACAGTTTTGAGAAGTACCGGCCCAAGTATTTTATGGGCTGACCTCGATTTAGGTCGTCTCCTGTTTGCCTCTTTAAAAAAAAAAAGATGAGTAAGGAAACAGAAATTTCCGGTAAAACAGTGGGGAAAGAGCTATTCCTTTTCTTCCTGCACTGTCAAGTGGATGGAACCTTTCTGGGGCCAGATGGCAGAGGTGCTTCTACCAGCAAAACCAGGCTGTTTCCATTGGGCTTTTGTTGCAAATAAACAAGGTCGCCAGGCAGACGTGGGCAGGGCCAGCCTGTGAGTGGGGCTCTGGACTTTCTCCCTGCAGCCCCACCGGCTGGCGGTCGCAGGTTGCGGTCCTCTTTTGAGGGCCCGAGATCAGGAGGGGACTGTCCATGCAACATGGGCATCAAACCTTCTCGGGTCCTGCGCTGAGGACTGAGAGGCCGTAGCCATGGCAACTGTGTGGCCCCATGAGTTCCTGGCCACTGGTCATTGCATAGGTGCACTTCCGTGGCCACAGGAAATGGGCTCCAGACTCCCTGCCACAGATCCCAAAGCCAAGGGCAGCCAGGTCCCTCACAGAAAGTGACGGGTTTACATGCACAGTACACAGCCCAGTACTGTGTGCAGGCCGTGTGCACAGTGGCTGTACTGAGTTTCGGGAACACCAACCAGGGGCAGGCTCTGTACCTGTTCAGTACAGACACCTGATGCAGAGCCAGAACCTGCCGATACAGAGGGCCAGCTGTATGAGGTGTGATCTAAAAACAGGGTGAATATTTAATTTTTCAGATGTGTTACAGTAAAAGACCGGTTGCCGGTCACCCCCTCACTCTGAACACACTAACCCCTCTCTTCTTGCTGCTCTCTGGATGTCTGCGTGAGTGTATTTAATTGTGCTGTCATGGCTGCTTTAATGTCCTGAGTCGATTTAAAACGCTTACCTTTCATGGTCCTTTTGACTTTAAGAGCCCTGACTCAGCTGCACGGAGCCGTGTCTGGTGAATAGGTGGATGAGGACACACGGTGCTGCTTTCCGTGCCTGCCTTTTGGGTGGATGGCACTGGGCAGCTGCATTCTCTGTGTTTTTGCTTACACCCCATGAAGACACTCGTGGAGGCTTCCAGAACTGCATCAGAAAGTGGCAAGAAGGATGGGATGAGTGTTTGAGTCAAGAGGGAATATTTTGAAGAGTAATTAACAGCAATGTATCTTTTTTGGAGGGGGAGGGTACTGGGGATCAAACTTGGGACCCTTGGGACCTTGTGCTTTCGAGGCAGGCGATGGAACCGCTGAGCTAAATCTCCAGCCCAGCAGTGTATCTTTTGTTGTTGTTGTTGTTTTGTTTTGTTTGGTACCGGGGATCAAACTCGGGTCCTTGCACTTGAGCAGCATGTGGCGAAACCACTGAGCTTAAATGCCCAGCCCCTGAGCAGTGTATCTTTTAATGTAATAAATTTTTAAAATTTAAATACTCAGTATATATTTTGATCACAACTCAAGCTTAGGTTCTAAAGCCCCTAAATTGGCTTAGTGCCTTTCTAAAGGCCAGAGTTTATGCTGGCTGTTAGCTCTTTCCCATTAGTTTCCCAACTGTGGAAGTGGCTGGAGGTGGGAGACCCCGTGCCCCCAAAGCACATTCCCTGGGCAGCACAGTGCTGCAGCCGGAATGCCTGTGGCCACCCAGCTAGCTGAAGCAGTCTCTTCAGTCGCATTACAGGGCAGCTGGTGGCTCCCACAGTATCCCCTCAGGCCAGTCAGCCCAGAAGCTCAGTCCTGAACAGCAGCTTCGAGTCCAGGATTTGGGTGAACCAGTGCCACACCCGGCCCTCCTGGCCCTCTGGGTTTCTGGACTCCTCCTGGGTGACTTTTGGGTGTGAAGACAGGTCTTTTGGAGCTTTTCCTGTTTCTCAAGCCCTTATCATCAGGTGGTGTTGTGACTTTGACAGCCCAGCAGCATGATGTTGGGTTTGGAGGAGTCCAGACACACGGGTCCCCCAACTCCTGCACTTGGCCTTGGCCAAGGGGAGCCTGAATGCTTCCTGTCCCCCGTGTTCCAGTTCTGCCAGCCACTGTCCTCACAGGCACTGCACATACACCAGGAGTGGCCCCTGCAGAGTGGACGGACCCACACAGAGGTTCCGGTGGACACCTTGTTGCCCCGGAGCCTAGAGCCATTCCCAGGGACCCTGGCCCCACCATGGGAAGCTGCTGTGCAGGGCACAGCTTTGTGGCACCTTCCGCAGCTCAGCCTTGAGTGTGGCAATGCTTCCTCCCTTCTTTCCTTGGTGACTTGAGTTTTCCCAGCAGATGAGGCAGTGAGTAATTCCACTCAATAGGGCGCAGGCTATGGGTGATTCTCTGGTGACCGCAGGCTAGCACAGCTGCTCCCAGTAGGGCCCTTCCTCCCCGCCCGGCTGAGGTGCCCCAGGCTGGGCCGGGTAGGGGTATCTCCTGTGACCCCCAGGAAGCGATCCTCTGCTGCACTGGGCTTAGGCCCGGAGTCCCTCCCTTGCCTGTGTCTCACTAACAGGAAGGAGAACCCAGTTGTGTCTTGGAACCCAACATTCTCAGGTTCCTTTCAGCCATCAAATCCCAACATCTCCCATGTCCAGCCTCAGGCACTTAACCTTGTGTGGTTCTTGCCAAGATTTGCCATCACCTTACCCCAGGTGGGGACCCAGCAGCCGCCCCAGAACTTAGGGTCCCAGGACAGTTGACCTCTGTGCTGAGGTCAACTTCTCCCAAAGGGCATTCAGTGCCTCCCCCTTCAGAAGTGCTTTTTCTAATCTCCTTTCTTCTTTAGCCATCCCTAAAAGGCGGGGAAGGCCACATCCCCATTCCCACTGTACAGATGGGGAAACTGAGGTGACAAAGCTCTTAAGCCAGGAATAGCAGAGCTGGGTTGCAGAAACTCACCTCGTATGGGACCATGTAGCTCATGCCTGGGGCTGATCAGGCCCTCAGATACCTGTGGGGGAACAATGGGGACTAAAGAGAAACAATATTCAAGGTTCAAGGGGACCAGCAGGAGCCTGCCTCTGGTGGACAAGCTGGATACACTCCCTGGTTGACACACTTTTATTAGCCAGCAAGAAGCTGGGGGGAGGGGGGAAGGGCAGTGTACTTTTCCTGGAGCCGTGACTGCAGTGAGGATGGGACAACAAAAAACAGGAACAAGTCAAGCCTCACAAGGGAGCAAGGTAGTGGGGCTTAGGCCCTTCTCCATACCTGGAGTCCTGCATTTTTTGCATTGTCCTCAGTTGTCTTGCCTTAGCTGTGATTACGAGCTTTCTCCACACAGCCAGGAAACATGCAGCCTTGCATGTACTTCCCTACTCCTAAAGCAAGTCACAAGGGCCTCGGGACTGTGGAGCCCTGTAGCCTGGCCGCCACCAATCTGCACATCCTGGCAGGTCCTCGACATGCTTGCACCACGGAGCTGTGGCCCGTTCTGTCCACTACAGTCTGGTGGCCACCACTTCCAGTCTTCACCCAGCACGTCCAAACCACTGCCCCAAGGTGGAGAAAAGGAGAGAAAGTGGGGCCATGGCAGCCCCTGGGGCAAGAACCAGGGTCTGGGGGAGCAGGGGTCCGACATAGGGGGCCTCTGTGAGGGGCTTGGCACACCTGGACCTGCGTCTAGCCGGCCACCGAGCTGTGGGCTGCAAGCTCTGGGACGGGCAGCAACGGGGAGCTCAGCTGGCACTGGCGGGGATGGTTGACAGGAGGCCCCCTCTGTCATCTGGTGCAGCAAAGCTGTGCCAGAGCTGCCCTGTGACTGAGGGACTGATGGAGATACGGAGGGAGGCCCTGCCGAATCACACGTCAAGCAGTGCAGTCTCAGAACATCACGGCTGCCTTCCCTGGTGCACGCATTCCTGTCTGTGTGCACAGGGGCATCCACCCTTCGTCCCATGAACTCTGGAGGCCCAGGCAGGAGGATCTCGGGTTCGAGGCCAGCCTGTTCAAACTTAGCAAGATCCTGTCTCAAAATAAAATGTAAAGGGGCTAGGAATAGAGCTCAGTGGTAGAGCTCAGTGGTAGAGCCCAGGGCCCTGGTTCAATCCCCAGTACCAAAAAAAGGGACCATTATTGTACCAGGGCACAGTGAGAATATTGCCACCACCCTAGGTATCTTCCTGCTCACCCACCACATGCTCTGTCTTGAGTGTCCCTCCTCTGCTCACTGTGTGAATGTTGCTTGCTCTTTTTGTTCCTTTATCATGTGTGTGTGTGTATATGGATGTGTGTACATATGTGCCCTGGATAGCACAGTGATTTTTAACTATGGAATCATACTGTGTGAGTGCCTATGGCTCTTGCTGTTGTCTCGTATCATGAGACGCATCATAGCATTGCAGGCAGTTATTGGCATTCTTCTTCGCTGTCGTGTAATATTCTGTGGCCCCTAGTACCCACCTGCTGCCTGTGTCCCCATCTGCTGGATACTTATCTCCAGCTTGCTGACATTTTTGGCACACAGATTGATCACACACACACCCCACTGGCTTCTGACACTACCAGGTGCACGTGAGGAGAGACAGGGTGGTCCCAAAGTGCCACTCTCCAAGTATCGGGTCTCCCCTTCGCTTGGGGGTTGCCTCGCTGTGGCAGCCAGCACTAACCAGAATCTCATGTGCCTTGCAGCTTGCCGGGATTGCAGTCCTTGCCATTGGACTATGGCTCCGATTCGACTCCCAGACCAAGAGCATCTTCGAGCAGGACTCGAATAGTAACTCCAGCTTCTACACAGGTGACTTGCGACTCCCTTTCAGTCCAGAGACACCCTGCTGACCAGGGGTGTGGGCCTGGGAAGACTGATGGCCAGGCCTGTCATCCGCCTCAAGCTATGTGGCTGTGCTGTGTAGTCGTACCGTGAGTTCACATTCGACTGATGTGGTTTCTTTTCATGCTGTCATTTTGACCTCTCTGATGTGCACTTGGCCTGGCCGAGTCTCTCCTAATGATGGCTTCCAGGGCAGCATCCTCCTCCCATTTGGGAATCTGTGTCCTGGGGCTGTGCCGTGCCAGGAAGAAACAGGTGGCTCTTCTCCCCATCATTTGAACAAGAACTCAGACCCCGGGAAGACCCGCCTCCTGGATAATAATTAGGGGCACTGTGGGTGTGACTCGATGATAGAGCCCAGCCTAACACACACTCGGCCCTGGGTTTGACCCCCAGCACCTTGCAGAGGAAGTTGGTAGGGGAGAGGAGGAGGGACCCGTTCCAGTTCTTGGGACCTGCTGTGGCTTTGGTTTCGTTTGTTTTCTAACCTTTTTCAGCAGAAAGGTTTCCAGCTTTAGCAAGCTGGGATCCTCGGAGCAGCTCTCTTCCTACGCAGACCGCCTTGTCAGCTTCTCCAGCATCCTCTGTCCCCCTGCTGCCAGCTCAGCTTCTCCAGGAGCAGCAGGCTCCGGAGCTTGTTGGAGGCATCTTCCCGGCTTCCCAGCAACCTCATACTTTGTGGTTCTGCTGATGCCTGGTTTGGGGGTGGGAACCATTTCATTTTCAAGAAAGAAGAGAAATCCCCTATTTTTAGGATGAGGCTGTCAGGTCAGGGCTGCAAGTGTGAGTGTGGCCACTTCCTTCCCACCCACCACAGCTATTTTTACCGAGGATGCAGGGAGCGGTCTGAGAGGTTTATCGCCCGGGCTTGGGGGCCAAGTGGTGGCAGCTGCCAGCCATGCCCCCTCTCTTTATACCGCCTGCCAGGACAAGGGGAATCTGTAAAAACTGCCGCTTTGGTTGCATCGCACCTGAGCCTTGTGGATAGTTTTTCTGGTTTTCCTGCTTTTTCTGGTTGGGAATTTGGGGTGTGGCCCCCTATTGTCAGAATGTGAGAGAAAGAAACGCACAGCGTATTTTTTTTAATCTACACACACAGGTTTCAGGGAGCGGTTTCCATAGCACCTGGACTTGTTTCAGCCGCAGAGCATTTGTCTGCTGTGGGCACCCTGTGGGCAGGAGGCGGGGGCAGGGGCACCACTGGAGAGCGGACAGCACCCCGCGACGCCCTGCCCCGACAGTGCTTGCTGGGCTCTGAGCTCGTTCCTGGGGCCACAGAGCAGCACTGGGCGCCAGTTTGGGCCACTCTGCTGAGAAAGCCTGGCTGCCTCTCAGAAGGGCCCCTTGGCCCCCGTCACCCTGGCCACTTTGATCAACCAGGTAGGGTTTTGCTCTGTTTTTGGGGTGCTGGAGATGGACCCAGGACCTCACACAAGCTGGGCAGGGACACGGCCACTGAGCCACTCCCTGGTCCTATTTTACACATTCTTCTTCTGTAGTTTGCTTTGTGTGTCACAGTATTGGGAACGGAACCCGGGGCCTGGCACTGAGCCGCATCCCCAGCCCTGTTTCTAATTTTATTTTGAGACATGGTCTCACTAAGTCCCTAAACCACCCAGGCTGGGCTTAGACTTGCACCCTCCTGCCTCAGCCTGTGGAGCAGCTGAGATGACAGGCGTGCACCGCCATGCCCTGCTCCTCTGCTGTCCTCAGAGCCCTGGCTCAGCTGTGTGTTCTTAGATGTGGGAAGCAAGGACATCATCGGTGAAGAGACAGACCGGGAGGGAGATGCTGGCGTTCCTGCCCCTGTTCGTGGAGTCACTCACCGTTGTAGGGTTTAATCCTCATTACGCTGTGTAGAAGGAATCCTGTGTCAGAGACCAAGAAAGCAAGGCCTAGAGGCAAATAATAGCTACCCCTGTGTGAGAGTTTTTAAAAATGTGCAGAGACCAAATGTTCCCCACTGTGGGAGCACACAGATGAAGGAGCCAAAACCCTATGGGGTTCAGATCCTGCAGGTTGCCGCGGGACCCCCACGTGTCCTTCCTGAAGTGATAGGAGGGTGACAGGAAGGCACAGTTCAGAGACAGCCATCCAGGGGAGGCCAGGAGCCGCAGACCTCTGCAGCTGGACCCCTGCCTGCAGTGGGGCTCAGCTTTGCAGTTTCTGCTCCTCACAGCAGCCCAGGGATGATGCCAGTGACCCCGGATATCAGCAAGCTGGGCGGCCACCTGGGCCTGCTGCACCTGCCCGGGAAACTGAGCTGTTGTTGTCCCTGGGCAACAGGCCAAGGAGGCGTCACTGTCTGCGTCCCTGTCCCTGCTGGGCTGAAACCAGGCTTTTGTGTGACCCAGAGCCATTCTCCCAGCTGAGGAGCCGGGCCTGCCAGTTACCCACTGGCCACTGCTTGACGTCATGGGGTTCGCTGTCCCTTGCACGGGGCTCTGACTGTGCGGAGAAGCAAGGGGAAAACCTCCCAGCATTTAGAAGAGTTCATAGCACACCCAGGGCAGGCAACTGCCTTATATGGGCCCTTTCCCCAGCCCAGGCCGGGAGCTTCAGCCACTGGCAGTATCCGTAATTCTGGGTATTTGAGGAACTTCATTTTCTTGGTTCCAGGCCAGCGGTTCTTCTTATCTCGTTGGTACCCTTCCGCAACCATGAAACCATGACCGCTGAGTGAGGGAGACCCGGGCGCTCCAGCCAGAGGTCCTGGACGTCCACCCCTCCCTGAGGCCACCTGCCTACAAGTAGCTGCCCAGTGACTATCCCAACCCGACCCGCCCTTGGCACTTGCCCTCAGGAAATGGCCCCGCCTTGCTGTGGCCTGAAGCGGTTGGTTTGGTGGCTCTGTCCCTCATCTTCCCCACCAGACACGGCATCACTGACTCTGGCCGGCCGCCTCTCTGGGAGAGACTGACTAGCAAGCGGAATTGCTCCGTGCTACTTATTATTGAGAACAAGGAGCCGAGGGAGCCCTCACGGGCAGAGTTCAGGCCCTGTGAACAGGGTGGGCTGCTTGGGGTGGAAGTGGTTTCAATGAGGCCAGAGGCACTGGCAGTTTGTCCCCGCCCCACAGTGCTGTACCCGAGGCCACTGTGTCCTCTGAGGCCTGCTCCATGAGGTGCAGGGCCCACTTCTGTGTGCAGGGCACTCGAGTATACTGCTGCCACTCTAGTCTTTCTTTTTGTACTGGGCCTATAATGTCAGGCTGAAAAAAAGCAGAATAAACAGCCCTTAAGCAATTGAACATGATAATCGTGAGCAGGCCTGGGAGGAGTAACTTTTTCCATGAGTCAGACAGAAGGCTAACATTCACTGTTTTATAGAGGGAGCACTTTGTCATTTAGCACCGCCAGCCTTTGCTAAGCAGCTGGGGAGAGCTGCCGAGAGCAGCTTCCCAAAGGGAAGTGCACAGGCCAGGCTGGGGCGTGGCTCGGCCTGGGTCCCATTCCCAGCACCACAAAAAAACAAGCCACATGGGGGTTGGTGGGGGTGGGGTTAGCTCAGGGGCGCCACGCCTGCTTCGCAAGAGCAAGGTCCTAAGTTTGATCCCCGGTACTGGGAGAAAAAAAACCAAGCCACAGCCACCGCCAGGTGAGCCCAGCACCAGCTCTGACTGTGTGGGGGCCAAGGCCCAGTATCCGGATGACCGCCCACCCTGGAGCTTGTTGGCTGCGGGTACTGCGTGCTCACCCTCCACTGGAGAGGGCTAAGTTCGGTCCGAGGTAAAGCACTAAATCCAGTGAGTCCCTTTATCTTAAAGTCTTCCTCTGCAGAGCCCTAGAATGAATATGTCATGTGAACCGAGAGGCCCATTAAGACAGTGTCCACTCTCTGCTTGGGAGATGCTCTTTCCTGTTGTAGCTCGCTCGCTGCTGCTGACTCAACCAGCTGGCTCCCCAGGCCTCTGTGCTGGGACGTGGACATAGAGAAGACGCGTCTGTGTCCTTCCCCCTGGCCATATTTCACAGGCTTGTAAACCCTTCCGATATCTCAGTCCCCTCAGCTGTTTAGCACCTGCTCCAGAGCTCACAGGGAGGTTGTGTCCCTCCCTGAGGGGGAGAGACAGGGCTGCCCTGCTGCCTCATCAGCTGTCGACCCCATGTTAGGAGAGTGGAGGGAGTCTGGCCTCCTCCCCAGGCCCCGTGCATGGAGCTGTACTGCAGAATGAAGCCCCACGTCCCGCCTGTGGGCCCCTGAGTTTGCCTCCCTTGGAGGATGCTTGAGGACAGGCTACATTTGTTGCCTTGCCCAGTCTGGGCTGGGCGAGCAGGAACAATGCCCGCATTCATAGACAGGGTTTGCCAGCAGCCCCGCATGACCTGACATCATGGCAGATGCGGGGGAGAGGGAGAGGCACAAACACCGCCTGTGCCCTGTACTGCCCGTGGCTCAGCTGCAGCTGCAAGGCCGTGAAGTCTGCTGCCTGCACAGCTTCAGCCTGCGCCAAGGCCACTGTATCACCTGCCGAGTCCTCCTTGAGTGTTCTACTGTGTCTTGTGGGGAAACGGCATGTCTCTCCCCCATGGCCAGCCCTAGAAGGAGGTTTCTCTGGCCCCAGTTAAAGGACAGTACAGGAAGAACATCAAGTGTATGAAATCCATCACTGAGGTTATTAGCAATTGTTACTGATCTTTGGAGTTTGGGATCGGTGAGAGCCCACATCGGTCGTGAATGTGAGTTGTATCATTTAACCCACTGTTACCACCCCTCCGTGTGTGTGTGTGTGTGTGTGTGTGTGTGTATGCACGCATGCATGGTTGTGCACGTGCTAGGGATCAGACCAAGGGTCTCACACATGCTGAGCTGGTGCTTCACCACTGAGCTGTACCTCCACCCAAGTGTCCTCATTTTGCAGGCAAAAAAACCTTGCACCGAGAGATTAGGTGGCATCTACAGAGTCACAGAGCTTTCACACGCAGACGTTCTGGCGTCAGCTGGCTGTTCTTGTCAGCTCAGGGGCCCTCCCGACATCCACAGAACGTGCCTACAAGACGGGGCACTGGGCCTTTGGGGGTGAGGGCTGTGCAGGAGTAGTCCCACAGGACAGCTGTGGTTTCTCAAGAATATAACTGCAGGATGAGCCCCCGGGCATCCCTTGGCATAGTCTGGAATGAACAAGGCCAGGGTTGCAGCCCTGTGTCCCTTGCCCCAGGAATCTGCATTGTTTTGGGCACAGGCTTCCACTTCCCCTCCCTCAGCCTCTCGGATGGAAGGCCTAGTAGTGGTGTTGCTCACCCTCCTCTTAGCAAGAAAGACCCTTTTTACCTCCATGTGGAGTAACTGATTGCAGCTGTAAGCTCTCCCAGGATAGTACAGGGATGTCCTGGAATTCCTAAGTCAACCTCTTTGATTTTACTAGGTAAGGAAATTGAGGCCCTGAGAGGGAAAACGTTAGTAATGGTGGAACTGAAACGAGGGTTTTCTGGTACCCAGACTTGTGTCTTTTGCACTAGAGCAAGGGAGTTGTCCCGTTGCCAGCTGTGCAGACAGCTGGGCATGTGGTGCCCTGAGGTGTCGGGCAGAGCTGGCCTCCTGGAGCAGACTTTGGGTGCACAGCTTCCTGCGCGCCAACGGCACCCTGTGGTTTGGACCGTGAGCAGAGGCAGAGAGGACTGTTTGTGAAAGGGGCTTCTTCCCTGAGGTAGGGCAGTAAGAGTGCCAGACACATGGAGTCACACAGGCAAAAAGGGGAAACTGGAGAAACCCGGGCCTGCAGACTAACATCCCCACTGTGCCCTTTTTTTCCTCTGCCAGGAGTCTACATTCTGATTGGAGCCGGGGCCCTCATGATGGTGGTGGGTTTCTTGGGCTGCTGTGGGGCTGTGCAGGAGTCCCAGTGCATGCTGGGATTGGTGAGTGCCCCTTCCTGTTCTGACTCCTGGCCCCTCTCCCTCCTCCTCCTCCCAGCAGGCCCCATCCACAGAACAGGCGCCTCCATAGCAAAGCTTTCCTTATCCTCCCCATGTACCTCCCTCCAGGCTTTAGCCAGCCACCATCTTATCTGTGACCCTAGCCAGATGCCATCTTGTAGGTCGCCCAGGCCTCTCCCCTATGGAAGGCATCGCTCCTCTGCCTTTCTCTAGCCATTCTTATCACTTCCCTTAGGCAACTAAATGCCAGTACTTTGTTTCTCCCTTTTTCGAGGTCTAGGTTTGCTTTTTTTCCTTGAATCCACAGGTACTTTCACCTTCTCTCATTTTAAAATTTGCTACTGTCTTCCCTAAACACAGAGTATATTCACTGCCTTTGTTTCCCCTAACCCCAGGGGGCTTTGTGAGTTATTCTGTTGTTCACTGGCTCCTAACTGAAACCCTGTAAGTATCAGCATTGGGGCCTCTGTGCCTCACTCTGCTCCAGGAGGCATGCCCTTCCCATGTGCAAATCCCTCTGCCCTTCTAGACTGTCCCTGTGTCCCCAGATATCTTCATTCTTCCTTCTCCCGAGCACCGTTGGCTCTTTCTGACTAGTTGGCTGGGATCACTCCTCACACCATCTCCTTTGCCTTCTAGTTCTTTTGCTTCCTCTTGGTGATATTTGGTATTGAAGTAGCTGCAGCCGCCTGGGGCTTTACCCACAAGGATGAGGTAAGTTTTTCCCATGTAACTTCTGGGTCCTGCGATGGTCTGAGTTTAGAGGGTTGGGGGGCCAGGGAGCGACGAGGGTGCTGGTCGGCTCCTTTGGTTGGCGTTCAGCACTGAGTATAATGCTGCGTTCAGCCATCACAACACTCATCCCTGCAAGGCGGCATGTGATGCTGTGCCCTCTGTGGGCATTGTGCCGGCCTCAAGACTGGCACATAGTGGGTGTTCAGGACTCCCCACTTGGGAGAGATGTGCGTCTGTCTCACACCTCGGCACCCCCAACTCCTGGAAAGATTCTGGAAACCATAGCTTTCTGCCTTGCTCCTTCTTCCAAACTATAAACATGTGTTCAAGTGCCACCTCAAGCCAACTGCCATACCAGATGTCATGGAGGCACCACAGAGCCCCAAGCTGTGGTGGCCCTCTATGAGCTTTGCCATCTAGTGTGGGAAAAGGATGCTTTTGTTGTTGTTGTTTTGTTTTGTTTGTTGGTTTTTGGGGGGTTTTATGGTACTGGGGATCGAACTCAGGTCCTTGAGCTTGCGCAGCAGGCGGCAAAACCACTGAGCTAAATCCCCGGCCCAGAAAAGGATGCTTTTGACACGTGTCATAAAAGTGATTTATATCCAAAAGTGCCATGGGATTTGAAAAGATAGTGAGGGGAAGGGGACTCTCTTGTGGCTTCGTCATGGTCTAGACCTTGAACTCAAGATGAGATGGAAGGAAGAAGAAGGTAGGTGGTGGTGGAGACTTCCTGACAGAGGAAGCCCTGAGGGCAGCAGAGCCTGCACTGTGCGGAAGGCATCGAGGAGCTCGGGGCCCAGTGGAGCCTTGGGAGCCGCACACCATTCTTGGAGGGGCCCTCTCGTCTTATTCACCAGGGAGGAGAGAGGGAAAGAGATCCTGGAGACAGGAACCCTGCTTTAAGAGGAAAATAAATTATCCAAGCAACAAAAGCTGCAGCCCTAGGAATACGAAGGGATAATTGTGGAAAAAAATGCTGGAGGCTGGTCTGTTAATTGGTTGGGTGAAGGCCAAGGAGACTGATATCCTTAACCTGGCCTTAGTTAGCCTCTGTGGCTTCGTGTCCCTGCCAATGCTGCTTCCACATCCGCCTGCACCAGGCTCTGTGCTGACAGCAAAACATGCAGAGTCTCGCTTAATCCTCACAGTAACCTGTGAGATGTGTGGATTGTCATCCTCCCCTGCTGTGCAGATGTAGAAACAGATGTGGAGAAAGGTTTTGATAATTTGCCCAAAGTCGCACCTCCGTGCAGAAAAACACATAGAAGCCTGAAGAACCGGCCAGGTCAGTTGTAGGAAAAAAATCTTTGTAAAATTGTTTTGATGGAGGAAATTCCACGTAGTTAACAGGCAGAAGGGAAGGAATTTAGTAGGGGTAAAGGGTCCAGCAGAGGCACAAGAGAAAAGGACAAGGACCGAGGTGGAAGGGCACAGCGGCCCTGAGAAAGGCAGTGTCAGGGGCTTGCGACTGCCTGGTGACCTCTTGTGGGTACACGAGTTTGTTGGCTGAAGACTTGAAGGCAGTGGACGGGACAAGCGGGTGAAACATGAAGAGGTATGGGAAAAGCCACCTCTCCCACGCTTGTCTGTCCCCTGTAGGTGATTAAGCGTGTGCAGGACTTTTACATCGACACCTACAGCAAGCTGAAAAACAAGGATGAGCCCCAGCGGGAAACGCTGAAAGCCATCCACAAAGCGGTAGGCACCCTTGGGGACCGGCCTCCTCCCGGGGCCAGCACAGGGGTCAAGGCAGGGGTTGGCTGCACCCAACCCTCTTCTAACCCCCTCCCCGTCCACTTTCTGTGCAGCTGGACTGCTGTGGCGTTGTGGGAGGCATAGAGCAGTTCATCTCGGACATCTGCCCCAACAATGGCATCATCAACAACCTCAAAGTCAAGGTAAACTGAGGAACAAGCTCCTGGCGCCGCTGCCTTGTCACTCTGAGCAGATTCTGCAAGGGTGGAAAATCTCTGCTTCCCCAGGATCCCTTCCACCCCACTTCCCCCCACCCTGGGCCCTCTTTCCTCGAAGGGCAGCAGAACAAAAGGCCAGGCCAGGTCCTCAGGCTGTCACCACAGGCACGTCTGAGTCCTAGACTCTTGTTTTTCGGACTTGGTAAATGGCTCATGATCGTGTGCTGCTGTCCAGGCTCCAGGAATAAAAGGGACCTTGCAGCCTTATCAGAACTGGGTCCGGGTGGGCTGGGGTGCAGCTCGGGGACAGCACTTACCCAGCATGCTCCGGGAGGGTGACGGGGCTGGGTGCAAACCTCCTCCTCCCCCAGGTCTCACCCAGGGCTTAGGGACCCCCTCCCCCAGGAGACAGGGTGCCCCAGAATGGGATGGTGGTGACCTGGGTCTCCTTGCCTCCCCCAGCCCTGCCCCGAGGCCATCAGAGAGGTCTTCGACAACAAGTTCCACATCATTGGTGCCGTGGGCATTGCCATCGCCGTGGTGATGGTGAGTGGGGGTCGTCTGAGGAGGGGCGGTCCTCAGTCTTTGGTCTTCATAGTCGGTAGCACTGAACACAAGCTCTGGCCAGGTGCTGTCTGAAACGCTGTGTTCCTCACCTGACGTCCCCTCACCATCCATACAAGGTGGGAGCTTTTAGTATTTCCATCTTACCACTAGAAAGTGGAGGAGTAGGGTGTGGCTTTGTGGTAGCACAGTGACCTAGCATGTGCAAAGGCCCTGCATTCCATCCCCAGCACCTGCGTTAAAAGGAAATGGACTAGTTGAGTATTTTGATCAAAGCCTCTCGGTCTACCTCCAGAGCCTGTTCTCTTCACAGTGCAGTTCAGGGGCAGATGGAAGGGGCTGCCGCTGCAGCTGCTCCTCAGGCATGTCCCCCAAGCACCCTGAGAAAACAGCTTCCTAGAGGTTTCACTTCGTGTATTCTGAAGGGCACCCAGAGGTCACACAGCCATTGGGAGACTGAGTGTCTCTGGACACTGCTGTCTTTCCCATCAGCCCCTAGAAACCACCAAAGGCCACCCAGACTCCTTGGGGTCACCCCACTCTCCCAGTGGGGCGTGCGGCACTCCACTGGCACTGCCCCTTTCTGGGGTGCTGGGCTTACTGAACCCCCAGTCATCTCTGCCTTGTCCCCTTCCTCTGCCCCTCACAGGCTGCCCAAAGAGCACGGCTCTTTCTCAGCAGTGCCAAGCAGCTCACATAAAGCAGCACACTAACACCTTTTAAAGTAGAGTTTTAGATGCACACAGCACACATCAGGGAGGTGAGGGCGCTGACCTCAGGCTGAGGTGTGTGCAGTGGTAGAGCGCCTGCCTAGCAAGCAGAGGGCCCAAGTTCCATCCTTGCCCCTAACCTGTGTGCTCTCCTGAAATACCCGGGTCCAAAGGTCTCGCTGTGGCAGATCTCGGGGAAGGACCCTAAAGTTTGTTAGCAGCTGGCTGCCGACTCACCTCCTCCTGGGCACCCTCGAGCTCCGACCACCTCTCCCCAGCCTTCCTTCCCACAGGCCTGACGCCCTGTCCTCTGTCTTGCAGATATTTGGCATGATCTTCAGCATGATCCTGTGCTGTGCAATCCGCAGAGACCGAGGCATGGTCTAGAGTCAGCTCGTTCCCCGCAGGAACTGACCCCTGAAGATCGTTGGCTGATTTTTTTTTTTGTTTTGGGTTTTTTTGTATTTTTGGTTTTTGTTTGATTTTTGCCACTAATGTTAGTATTCATTCTGCATTTCTAAACAGAAGTTATTCTGTGTTTGCCTTTTTAATGTTTTATTCAATATTGACATTTGTAGTTGAGGGATTTGGGGGTTTTGGTTTACTTTAGTTTTTTTTTCCTTCAATTGTTTATTTTTGCTTGTTAAGCAGAAATCCTACAGTGAAAGGTACTATATTTGCTAAATTCCAGACAGAAAGATATTGTACATAAAGAGAATTTTTTGTCTTTAAGTAGATAAAAATATCTATCAGATTTAATCAGGTTGTAACTTATATTGAAGACAATTTGATACATAATAAAAGATTATGATAAAATCTGGGACTGGTTTTGGCTTTTTGCTTCCTTTAATTTTTTTTTTAGAGTTATTTCGTTTTCAGGTGTTTTTCAACGACTCTTACTCTTACCGCGTTTGTGTGAAGTTTGTGAGGAAGTCGAGGCGTGGAAGGAGAGGTTTCCACCCGAGGTCGCATGACTTGCTCAGCAGTGGGCTTTGTCTTGGGGACACAGCTGAGTCCGCGGGGGCAGGGACTTCATTCCACTCGCTGCTGAGCCCAGCACCAAGACCCAGTGTCCGGGCACAGCGCGGGCTCAGTGTTCTTGTCCGCGAAGTCGTGTTTTTTGAACGACTGAATGAGTGTGTGCCATCCGATTCAGTCAGATGCGCACGTCCGGCGACTTGGGCCCTAAACGGCCCCTGGAGCTGGTCACTGCTGTGTCTGGAGAGTCAGGAAGAGGGAGACCCTGCACAAACTGGTCCCCGTGGTGAGGGATAGATCCCTGTCCTTGTCTTCTCTGCCGATGACGTGTGAGACCTACAAGGACAGAGCCCTTGGCCACACCGTCCTGGGAGGCGGGAGGCGCCAGAGCCTGTCCACTCCCTCCCACCCTGCCACAAGGCCCTGCCCACCCTCGAGGGTAACGCCCAGCAAGGGGGGTTCTGGGAAGTGTAGTTCAGCCACCTGTACTCTGGTAGGGTGGGCTGCAAGAGAGGAAGAACAGGGCATTTACCACTTCTTGGTTCATTTTGAGTTTTCTTAATGTAAAAAAAGGACAGACGGTAAAAGAGTCAAAATATCCCTGAATGACTCGTTGGGGATGGGAGAGGGGAGACGGAAGTAGGGAGGGGGTGAAGGAATCAAGAGCAATTGAGATACACCACACACATGCATCAGTTCCTCAGGCGAATGTGACTTTGGCACTGCAGATAGCCTCGTTCTGCAGTGTCCTGAATGGTTGCACTGGGGGCGCACAAGGCTCTAATCCCAGCACGGTGGGAGGCTGAGGCAAGAGAATCTAAAGTTAGGTGCAACCTGGGCAACTGAGCCTTTCAATGAGACCCTGCCCCAAAATAAATTTAAAAGGGACTGGAGATGTAGCTCTGTTTCATCCTGCATTCTGGGGGGAAAGAAGTCCCTGATGCTGTTACATTCAGAAACCAGAACACCCATGTTTACGACCTGAGTCACAATAGCCAAGAGGTAGACGAAACCCAAGGGTCCAAAGGATTAACACATGGAATATTACTTGGCCTGAGATGTACTGCAAGCTGGATGAACCTTCCTCTGAGGCCAAGTGAAGTAAGGCAGACAGAAAAGAACAGACGTCCTCTAATTCCAGTCAGATTCACAGACGGAAAGTAGATTCGAGGCAACCAGAAGCTGGAGAGAGGGGAGACAGAGACTTTAATGAACACAGAATTTCTGTTTGGAATAATGAAGCTGTAGAAACAGTGACAGTTGTGTGACTGTGTGAATGTACCTAGTGCCATGAATGGTGACACCAGGTGTGGAGGCAAACACCTGTGATCCCAGCACTGCAAGGCTGGCACAGGAGGACTGCAAATTCAAGCCTAGCCTGAGAAGCTTAGTGACTTAGTGAGATCCTGTCTCAAAATAAAAAATAAAGGCTGCAATATAGCTCAGCAGGAAAGCCCTGGGTTCAATCCCCAGTCTGAAAAAAAAGAAAAAGGAAACTATATGTTAGGTGTGTTTTACTACACATCAAAAAATCAGCTGGGATAGCATCCTTGGCCATCACTGCTGTGGCCCCAGATCCCTTCTCCACTTGAGCCTTTAAAGCTACCTATTGTTTCAGATATGGAAATGCCAGATCAACCGCTGGTTTTATGCAAGTTGCAGAGAGCATGTGAGAAACACGAACAGTCCAATACCAGAGTCACCTGCAGCCAGTGGGTCCCTGCCAGGGGTCAGCAGGAGTCTGAGGGCTTTGTTCCCCCAGGCTAGGTCCTCTCTTGCCCCTCAGCTGTGATTTGAGCCCAGCTGGGGATATATGACCAGGGTACTTCCCGCCCCACCCACCCAGCCCGTCTTCCTGCTGGCCTGGTGAGGCCTGGGCAGCTAATGTAATTGTCTCTACTCGAGTCTTGAGTCTTGGCCACCAGGCCCCTAGAAAGCTAATTCAGTTTCTCTCCTCTAAAATTGGATTTCCCCAGACCACCTGCTTCCCTTGTGGCAATGCAGGGAGGGTCGCATCTTAGCCTGTGTGGAGTCACCACTACTCTTCGAGTTTCCCAGAGCCAGACCCAAACTTCTAGCTGGTAATGCTGTCCCAACAGCTCCTGCAGGCATGCCCACCAGCCCCCCGGGGCCTCATTATGACCTGGCTGTGCACCTGGCCCTCAGCACCGCTCTGGGAGCTGAGCTGTGGATTATTCTCCATTCTTCACATGTGGAGAAACTGAGACCCAAAGAGCAGACGCTGCCCTGCCTGAGGCCTCTTGAAAAGAAGCAGAAATTACAGGCACTGGAGACAGATCTGTGTTTGGTTTACATCTCTGACATTGGACTAGTGTGATCTTGGGCTTCTGTGCCTTTGTAAGTTGGAGCTGGTAGAACGTACATGACACCATTTATTTTGTTTTGGGTACTGGGGGTCAAACTCGGGTCTTTGCACTTGCGAGGCAGGCGGCAGAACCACTGAGCTAAATCCCTGGCCCACAACAGCATTTATTTAAAAAATCATCTGTGAGGTGCCATCAAAACATATGGTATATTTTTAAATTTCTTTAAATGTGTCACAGTAAAGACACATTGGCATTAATCCCCCGTCGAAATCCCCCTCCTGGCTCCAAACACACGTGTTACCCTACCATTCTCGCCACTGAAGCAGCTCTGGAGTCCTCTTTCATGAGTGTCTTTCGTTGTGCTGTCATGGCTGCCTCGATGTCTTAATCGATTCAAAATGTTTACCTCTTGCGTCATTAGATTTGGTGAATAAGGTGAATGAGGATACAGTGTAACGTCTTTACAAACTGCCTTCCCATTGGATGGCGCTCGGCAGCTGCATCCACCGTATTCTTTATCATACTTCGTAAACACACTCATGAAAGAGGACTTCCAGAAGTGCTTCCGAAGTGGCAAAAACAATAGAATAAGTGTCTGAAGCAAGGGGGAGTGTTCTGAGAGGCATTAATGGCAATGTGCCTTTTGGTGTGATTTTAAAGTTGAGCATTCACTGTATTTTTCGATCACCCCTGTGCACCGTCCCTGTGTGTGATAATTGCGGGTAACGGGATGGCAGCGTGCAGGCTCCACAGATTCCAGCACTGCGCCCGGACTCATCTGAAGCCCACGGCCCTGTGGGTGGCCGCAGCTTCCCTGAACTTGCACCAGGAGCCAGGCGCAGGCTGGAGGCCGGTTCTGACAGCGGCGCGGTGCGGCTCGGTTAAGGCCAGGCTAAGTGTTGGCTTCACTTCGGAGTGCACTGGAAATGGTGAACCTCCGCGACTGTGGAACGCAGAAAAAGAAGTCCGCTGAGTATCTTAGAAGCCAGACATGGTGGGGCACACCTGTGATCCCAGCACTCCGGAGGCTAAGGCAAGAGGGCTGCAAGTTTGGGGTCAGCCAGGGCTCCACAGTGAGTTCAAGACCAGCCTGGACTACACAACAAGACTCTGTCTTTAAAAACCAAAAACCAGAGGAGGAAGAGGAGGGAAGGAGGGAAGGAGGAGGAGAAGAGTTAGAGAAAGGAGAGGAGAACGAGGAAAGGAAGAAGGACCGTACCGCCGCGCTGACACAGCAGAGGCAACAGGGACACTTGTTTTGTCTTTGGGCAAGGGCAGCAGCCCTGTGTGTGGGATGGGAGTAAAGAGGAGAAAATTCCATCTGGCCACTTTTCATACTCCATGAAGGAGTCATCAGTGGTGAAGAAAATGAGTAGGAGAATACAGATGAAATGCAAAGGTGGCATTCAGCAGATTAAAATTGGAAATTCTCCAAGTCTTGAAAGCACACTCAGTCCCGGGGGCTGAAAAGAGATGCAGAGCCAGGTGTGGTGGCCCAGGCCGGTAATCCCAGCTGAGGCAGGAGGATCTGAACCAAACAATTACATAGTGAGGCTCTGTCTCAAAAAACAGAGAGAGCAAGACAGAGATAGAAAGAGATGGAGAGACAGACACAGACAGACGGAGACTGACTCAGCAACTGCTCTCTTCCATCAGGCTCCCTGCTCCAACTAGACCTGGAAAAGCCTAAACCCAAGTCCAGTGGTCACCATTCTCTGGACCAAGCTGTCCTCTTATTTACTTCTGGGCCAGCATGTGGTTCCCGGTCACTCCCCCACCCCAGTCCTTCCCATGATACCAGGGTGGTCGGGTCAGTGAGCGACATGTTAGCCACTCTGGGTTTAGGCAGAGCCACAGAGGAAGGAGAGCGAACTTCCGCCAAGTCCAGTCGCCTCCCTGTCCTGGCCGGACTCCTGTTCTATCAGCTCTGGGTGACCCGAGCCAGTGCTTCGTCATTCTTTCCCTAAACAGTTTGCTCTCATGCATGGCACAATTCATACCTCCTTTCAATTGCAGTAGATTGGAAATTATTAAATAACAAATGTATAATCACAGTCTAGCCAGGAAAACAGGATCCAAAATAGGTAATTCATCAGAGAGAATTTAATAGAGGAAGCTGGCTGCAGCAGTGTTGGAGGGCTTGGAGTCAGCGGGAGAACAACAGGCGAAGCAGAGGAAGCAGCTGTGGGCCCAGGGCTGAGAGCGGGGGAAGGGGCTGCTTATCAGGTCCTAGAGCCCCAGGGGACTCGGAATTGGGGGAGGCTCTGGCCCCCACTGCTGTGGGCTCCTCGGGGACCCACAGAGGCTGATTCTGGAGTCCTGGATTCCACCCTCGGACTCCTCCACCTGAGATCTCTAAAATCTTCCCAGCTGTGAAGGAACTGGGGCCTCAGACCTGCACCTGGGCTCAAAAAGAAATATAAATGGCCAAAAAATATTTGGGAAATGCACAATATCGTTAGCCAACAGGAAAACACAAACCAAAGCTACAATGGACCTCAGCTCAGCTCAGTATGGCTACTCTCAACCCCCCCAAAATGAGAAATGCTGGAGAAAAAGGAACCCTCACAAACTATTGGTGGGGACATAAAGTAATGCAGCCACTATGGGTAGCAGCGCAGCAGTTCCTCAGAAAGCTGTAAGTAGATCTACCGTGTGGCCCAGCTGTCCCACTCCCGGCCACGTGCCAAAGGAACCACCCCACATGCAGCCCCACTCCACTCAGGCCTCCTGTGCATCTGCCCGCCACCTCCACACACTGAAAGGCCACCAGCTTCCTCACCAGGTCTCTCCTCCTCTTCAAGGCCCAGCTCAGACCCCAGCACCCACCACGGTGCTGGTGGCAGAGACCCCCACGGTGGGCACAGCTGGTGCTGGAAGTGGCTGCCCAGGCAGTCTGCTGCCTTGTGAGGGCCCAAGCGACCACTTCCTGCAAGTGGAATGAACGTAGAGCGAGGAGCACAGCAGAGGGATGGGGAACAGGGAACGAGGTAGATAAGGAAGATCCACCAGCTCCAGGGGGAGGACGGAGAAAGGGAGATAGGAAGGAAGGTTGGTTGGTTCTCAGGTCCTGGAATGACCACACTGCAACAAATAAAAACGTAAAGGTCCATTTTCAAGACAAAGTTTTAACTCTGAGTGGAAAGCTACTCACCCACGATGTGACTATAATCATAGTCCAAAAGGTCCCTAAACAAAGGAGGAGGGGGCCGCTAGTCAATGCCATAGGGCTTCACTGTGCTGACTGGAAAAGCCCGACAGCTAAGTCACCCACCTGTGGCTTAATCATTTGCCTCTGAACCCACACAGTGTTTGCAGAGGGAGCGCCCAAGGGAACCTCCTAAATCTAGGTGTTGTCCGGGGAGACTGTACCCCCATGGAACTCAGCCAGTGAGAATCTGGGGACGGGGCCTTCGCGCCGGGGTTAAATTGCTCACTAACCTCCAGGCTGTGCCCGCCTGCCTGCTGGCTGCACCTACACTTGCAAGGCCAAAAACTAAAGCCTCGCTGTCACTGATTTGCTGTCCTGTCTGATCTGTCCACTCTGCACAATCGGAGTGAGAGGCCTCGCTCCTCACCACGGAGGCCATCCTGGTAAGATGGGCCCTACAGATGGGGACCTCGAGACGCATCCTGTGCTGTATGAAGCACTGAGTTCCTCCAGCCTGGTGCCACAGCCAGACTCAGCTCCAGCTGCCGTGGGCAGCTGCTGCGTCCTTTCACTCCCCCAGCACCTCCCAGCAGGGCCCCAGTGCCTTGAACTTGCAACCCTCCTATCTCAGCCTCCCAAGTGCTGAAATAATAGGTGTGTGCCACTATGCCCACCACCTGTTTCTCTTTTTGAAGATATGAAAATCTAATCCCAAAACCAGCCACGGTAGAACACACCTGTAACAACACTCGGGAGGCTGAGGCAGGAGGATTGCTGCAAGTTCAAAGCCAGCTGGACTACACAGTAAGACTGTGTTTTAAAAAAACTAACAAAAATAAAATCTAATCCCAGCACTCTGGGAAT